TCCGAGGGGCACGGGCAGGCCGCGACAGCAGCAGCAGCAGCGAGGAGAAAACAGACGAACCACGCCCGACTCCTGCTGCGGATCGAGCCTCGAGCGAGCAGAGGCAGAGGCTGCACGGCTCGCCCCCTAAAAGTAGGATCCAGAGCAGCATCATGTAAGCCTTGAGATACTTCCACGGCGCCACCTCGACAAACCTCAGCAGAACCCTCGCGTCCAGGACATCCCAAGAGTGTGGCACGAATGCCCGCGGGGCCCTGGGGAACAATGACATGACCACGGATCGACCACCTGCACACATGTTGGAGGCACTCTCGGACGCATGGTCAAACTATGGCCTGTTCCCTTTTCTTCCTGCAGCGAAATCGCCCGAAAGTTCGCTCGCTTCGTCAGCACCGACCCACAAGCCAAGGAACCGGTGCATAGGAGTTCCTCCTGTAGGTGACCAGGGTCAAGACGGCGGCCCCAAGCGGCCAGTACTAAAATCAAGCACCACCAATTTTTGTTCATCGCAATCGCCTGAAGGTTCGTTCGCCCAGCCTTCTTGAAAGTTAATCCCGCGGTCCCTGTTGAAAGCAAGTGCCTTGCTATACAACAAGACCAGTATCAGTCGGCCAGTTGCGTCTCAGACATCTGCTAGGATTCAGCCTTGAGTCGAACATATTTTGGGCAGTTACAAATTGATGCTGCTGACAAGAAGGTACAGAGGGAGGTGGAAATAGGAGGAAAGAACACAATAATGAGAACACGAGGAATGAGCGGCAAACATAATGAAGCGTTGTGATGAAAATAAATGCGAACGCGTTTGCGGGGTTCGCGACCTATCCATGTGCGAGCCGTATAATGGGGTCCGCGGCCTACATATCTAGTATCGTCACTCGTCTGAAGTTCTTTTCGCGTGCTCCTCACCACCTCCCTCCTCCCCACCCCCCTCCGAACAGACAACTGGCTGGGCGGCACTGGTCGCAAAAGAACCCACAAACCGGAGAACAGCGCAGTCTGGCGCCACACAGGAGCGATCAGAATTGCCGGCAAGCTTGTGGGAGATGCATGCAAGCAAGCTTGACAGGGTGCTCGGCAAGCTTGCAGGCTTAAAGTGGCAGCTGCGCACGAGCCCAAGACGCGATGCGAAGCTGGCCTGCCCTTGCCTGCTGGCATCTTCTCTGAAACCCTTAACTGCTCTCAAGGAGCTATCCGGGGATGCTGGCACCCCCTGGCTGCGGCGATGGCGTCGTGGCGGGCTTCGCCGCCGGCTGGAGGATCGATGCCGTCGCTGCTCTCGCCGCCACTGCCCTGCGGTAAACGGAGGCCAACATGCAGACCCTGTGCTCGACTGATTCAGAGTCGGCCGTGCACAAAGCCAGCATAGCCTCAGTGCCGCAACCGAACGCTCCTGCCCTCGATTAAGCTTCAAAGCTTGTGCGTTGGAGGGAGAAGATGGGAGCGGACCACATGCTTCCTCAGCTGACGCCAAGCCCTTCAGCAGGAGCTGTGGCGGACAAACAACTCGCGCTACTAAACGCAATGTTGAACCAACAACTCCCGCGCAAAGAAATTCGCCGGCCCAACGGGCCAGAGGCGTGCTAAGATCTCCTGCAACTGGTTAACAAGATTTCGAGTTCGCGCGCGCGGGGCAGCCCCTGGGGGGCCCGGACGAAAAGTACCCCGGCCAGGTCCCGGTCAGGTCCCCCCAGAGCACTCCAGGGGAGGGCCATTTTTCGACACCCCTCACGAGGATCGTGGCCTCGGAGGGAGGAGCCGCAATCAACTACCTCCGCCTCCCGCCCCGAGAGCTCCCCAAGAGCCCCCAAAGAGGCCCCAGAGGCACCCAAGACGCCGCCAAAGGCCTCCAAGAGGCCCTCAAGAGGCCACCAAAGGCCCAAAAGAGTCCCCCAGGAGGCTTCGAAGAAGCCCCACAGACGCCACAAGACGCTCCAAGGAACTAGACCACTTGTTCAAGAGGCCTCCAGAGGGCCTCAAGAGGCTCCCAGAGGTTCCGAAGAAAGTACCTCCTGGACGCTTCTTGAAGCTTCAAACCGGCATCCCAAAGGTCCTACAGAGGCCAACCTGGCGGGGTGCGCCGAAGACAACTGCATATTTCAGCTACGTCCCGATCACCCAACCGCAAACGATGGCACAATACGGGCCGGCGGAATGAACGAAGCGATGATATTACCTCAGCGCCCCGGTCAAGGAGAAAGCTCAGCACACAGAAACGCCCAAAAGGGGTAGAGGGGAAGAGAGGAGGAGGAGGAGGAGGAGGAGGAGGAGGAGGAGGAGGAGGAGGAGGAGGAGGAGGAGGAGGATGAGGAAGAGGACGAGGAGGATGAGGAGGAGGAGGAGGAGGAGGAGGAGGAGGGAGGAAAGAAAGGGAGGAGGAGGGGAGGGCTGAAACGAAAATGCCCCACATTCCTGATTCTCATTCCCAATCAGTGCGAAAATGCTCGGCCGATTTGCCGATTTCGGTGGGCGGCCAGGTTCCCGGGCTTACCGGTTCCCGGTTCCCCAATCCCCTGTTGCTGGTTCCAGGCCGATTTCGGTGGGTGGCGGGGTTCCCGGGGTTCCAGTTTCCAGGTTCCCGGGGTCCTGGGTTCCCGGCCGGTATCACCATCGAGGTCACGGTCGATCTCACCAATCATCTCACTCAATCGATCTCACTCTCGATCTCACTCTCGACCTCACTATCGATATGGCCATTGATATCGCTATCGATCTCACCATCGATGTCACGACCGATCTCACGATGAATCCCACGACCGCTCTCACTATCGGTCGCATTATCGATGCCATCATCGATACCACTATCGATTTCAGCACCGATAATCTCACGACCGATGCCACTATTGATCTCCCTATCGACCTCACTGTCGATCTCACGATCAATATCACTATCGATCTCACTCAGTAGATCTCACTAACGATCTCAGTATCGAGCGCACGATCGCTCTCATGGTCGATCTCACTCAGTCAATACCACTATCTGTCTCACTATCGATCTCACTATATAGTGAGATCGATCTCACTCCACTGACCTCACTACCAATCTCACTATTGATTTCACTATCGATCTCACCATCGATCGCACTTTCGATCTCACGCAGTAGATCGCACTATCGCTCGCACAACATAGCATAACATGTAGCATAGCACGGGACACCCCCCCGGCACGGGACACCACGGGACACCACGGGATACCAGCGGGACACCACAGGGCCATTGCTGGCCAACCCAGGGGACAGCAACCTTCGGTTCGGCTTCGCTCTGGCAACGGCGGGTTCATCCCTTTCGCCCGTCCACGCAGCTTCGCCTCGCCCGCGCGAACGACGCGAACGTGAATCCCAAACCGATTTCCCGGTGGGGGGGGGTCTCGCTTTAACTGCGATCTGACCCCCCGACCTCCGATATACATATATAGAGAGAGGGAGAGAGAGAGAGAGAGAGAGACAGGGAACCAAACAACTATGCTCTAGAAAGTCTGAGAGATGCGGAGTAGAGAGAGTGAGAAAGAGAGAGACATACAGGAGTGTTAAATATAGATAGAGGGAGAGAGACGGAGAGAGAGAGAGAGAGAGAGAGAATGACAGAACGAGGGAGAGAGAGAGAGAGAGAAGAAGAAAGAGAGAGAGAGAGAGAAAGAGGAATAATAGACAATAACTAAACTGGACTAGAAGGTACATTTGAGTTGTGCTTGGGCGGGAGGAGTGCCGACTGAGGCACCTGCGAAAACTACAAAAAATCCACTGGTTGGGGTTTTCACCGGTGTAATGGTGCATGGTGCATGTGTGGACATGCCCAATTAGCTTCAGGTCGACCCTGTCCCCCTACAGGGGGATTTTGGACGAACCATAAAAAATACGCAAAACAGATTCGAAAGATGCCCAAACATACTCCCAAAAAATAGTCCCCAGGCTATTTTTTGACTATGTTTGAATATTCCCCCTGTAAAGGGACAGGCCCGACTTAAAATGAGCTTGATCAGACGACAAAAACTGACGTCACAAACAGTAGCACGTCGGAGGGGGGGGGAAGAGCAGAGGGCTGAAGAGGAGGAGGAAGGGGAGGAAGGAAGGACTAAGGAAGGAGGAAGGAGGAAGGGGAGGAGGGAGGAGGGGGAGAAGCG